CTCGTGGTCGAGAGCACGCAGCACATGGTATACAGCACTAGGAGGCGAAGGCTCTCCCACACTAGAGAATTCTGGATCGCTAAAGGTAGGTCCACCTGTTGGTGTCGAGCCAGCGAATGCAGGAGAGGCGCCATCAAAGGAAGCCTGTGAGACCTGCCTTAGCGGATGCTCTGGCCTGGCAGGCATATGGGGTGCGTGGCTGGCAGACCTCATTGGACCTCTTGGCCGGTTGAGCGACGCCGATGTGGACGTATCTGGAGCAGCGCTGGATTTCTGGCGTTCGTGGCCGGCGAAGGAGTGATGCGAGAATAGCTTCGGTCTGCGTTCCGGAATCATGGTGGAAGGGGGCATGTCGGCATGTTCATAGTCGCGTGAGCTTGGGTTCTCTTCCGATTGGAAATGGCTCGCTGCTTCCTGGTAGGTGGCTGCATGCGGGCTTCCCTCGTTCCCCATGGCAGTAAAACTAGTCTTCTGGCCCCATGGCACGTTCTCGATATCAGACGCATCCGCTGGTACTGCCAGGGTGGCTCTTTCCGCTCCATAGTGGTCGCGCATGATGGACGTTACTGCCGTCCACCAAGCAGCAAGGCCGGGCTCGGCACCCAGGCGCAGTACGATGTCGTAAAGATTGGGACTCGGGAATCGCGGGTCTTCTGCATCCGGGCTCTGGTAGTTTCTTCCTCCGGGGGCGAAGGGCGTGCTTGATGCGGCGGGGGTGCTGCTCTCGGAGGCGATGCGCTCTTGCGGGGTCGCGTACTCTCGCGACTGCCCCGCTACTACCGTGGGCGACAGGCTGGTGAAGGGCATGTGGAATGCCGAGGCCCATCGTGGCGTGTTTGGGACTGAAGGGAAGGGGTAGGATGGCGTTCGAACGGCATGGGTGGCGGCGGGCGTGGGTGGCATGCTGCCGCGAATGGTCCTCGCCGACTCGGTCGATTCGGTCGACGTGGTAAGGCCTGTAGGAAGCGGCGGGTTCGGGCTCGGGGTTGGACTTATAAAGGCGCCCTCGAGGGTGGGCGAGATGCCTGGCATGGGTTCCTCCTTGATGGGCGATATGCGGCGAGAGCCCAGCGCGACAGCGGAATTGTTCGACGAGCTCCGCATGCGCGCTCGCTGCTGTTGCTGCAGCATCTTCAGCTGCAGGCCGCGCAGTCGCTCCACCTCCATCTCGTCGGGCGAGGCCTCGCTCAGTGGCGCTTCTTCCGCGGCCAGCTCGTCGGCACCAGCGCCTTCGTCCTCGTCGCCCGGCTGGCTCTCTGCCTCGCTCAGTTCGCTGTCGGTGGCGGCATCGTCGCGGGGGTTGCTCGGGTTCCGGGTTCCAGGCGAGGGCTGCGAAGTTTGCGACTGATATGTCTTCGCGTCGCTGGCGGCCAGTCTCTGCAGTGGCGGGCGCGTCGTGGGTGGCGGCGCAGTCTCTCTCTTTGAATTAGGAGAGGGTGACGGGGCCTTTGTCATTATTGCATTCCCCAGTCTCCCACAGAACGCGCAGGTGGTGTCGTGATGGGGTCGAGGCAGCGGCGGGCATAGATGGGATGGTGAGCTATGACGTCGCGGAGTGTGCTCCTGGCAAGAATGGACGGTGAAGCGGCCTCAGCACATGGACAGGTCAACAACACGACTTAATGGCCACCAGTGGTTTTCGCACTGTCAGACTGCCAGCAGAGGCCGAATCCCACCGGAGCGCAGAGACAAGCTGGGAGTGCTTGGTGAGTAAGAATCAGGTGGTGGGCTCATGCCAGGATCAGGAGCAGGATAGCCTCGCGCCCGTGGGCTTCAACACACGCCCGCATACACTTACAGAAACGTCGAGGCCGCGCACTGCACGCGCTGGACAAAAGCAGTTTGGATGGATCGTGGATCGCGTAAATGATGTGTATTGGCGCGAGGGACCGTCTTGCTCCTGTCTCATTACAGCCGCCCGCTTGGACGAAATTGACTGTTGGCTGCGAGCCGCTAGATCACGGCCAGCGACGTCATCAGGGTTTCTCTGTACTCCAGCCGCGCCTACGCCGATCTGGAAACCTCCAGCGACGCCCAACCTCCACTGCCCTTGCCCACCGCCCGTCGACACCGCATTCTCCATCTTCGTTGTCTACACATCGTGATCCTACATTCACCACCCATCCCCGCCGACCGCTCTTGCGGCGCTCTACATGGCGTCAACTACCATTTTAGCGATGGCCAACGGGATGCCACGTTTCCCCATTGGATGGGTACCCCTGCACATTTCCAAGACAGTTTCCCATGACGTCCCAGTCCGGCTAGCGCCAGCAGCTTTCCTTCCGGAAGCCCCAAAGACGCTCGACGCACCGCCGTTCTCTACACTACTCAAGAGCCTCACTAGCGACGCTGCTGTCCCTCTCTCGATTGACGTGTTGAATACGCTATCCCGCAAATTTGGCCGTCCTGTCACGTCTCGGCCCGAATCTGCGCCTGCCTACAAGTAGCCCATGGAGCCACTTGTGGTGTCATTGTGCTCGAGGGCGGACCATGCGGCTGGATCTTGCAGTATACCAGAGTACACTAGGAAGCCTCAGCGGCTTTGGCGCTTCCATTCTTCTAGCTCCTGTCAAATGCAGCGGGGCGGAATCCCAAGACAACGTGGTAGCAATGTGCCGAGCAGCTGCCATGCGAGACACGCTGCGCTCCAAACTTTAACAATCTCTACCCGTCAGCTGGCGGGTACCTGCCTCACGTGCGAACACCACGGCTGACAGGTACCCACCATCATGCCCGCGTCGCCCTCGGCAGAGGTATCGTGAGATCAGATAATGCCTGCTCGCAGCCCTGTACTCGTAATCTATCACCATCCGCGACTTACCGCGCTTCCGTTCCGACGCTCGGAATGAGTACCACTACCAATCATCGTCCGGACGTCTTCGAACGGGTACCTTACATTGCCCATTACTACCCAACGCAGATCTACAGACAATCCCAATATCGAGACGCCACAGCCGTCTTCGGTGAGGATGATCTTTGTGTGAACCGTTATCCAGGGTCCGCGTAGCTCTACCAATGGAACAACCACGGTACGCAATCGCCGATCCGATCGTGATCATCGCCACCCCAATGACGCGAACATGAACGTTTGAGCCGCGCGTAGCCTATCCGTTTGAGATCTGGCACCACACCTCTCTATGAAGAACTATGATTATTACTGAAAATTGAGCTGTTTCGCATACTAAATAGCATCCGACCAAAGGACCATCTAGATTTTACAAATACCATCTGCCTGCGCACCAGCATCGGATTTAACCTTGCAGCACAGACCACGTGAAAGTGTCTCGCCATTTCCTGCACCAGTACGCGAACTTGAACAACAACACTCGCCATAGACGACTTCTCCCAAATCAAAGGGCCAGCTACCATACGATCTAACAAAATTCACTTTTGCGTCACCGGAACGTAAGCGTGTGAGAAAGCCAAGCGAATGACAAATACATCTACTACTAAATTTCCAGCAAGCCTCAAACACACCGACAAGACAACACCGCTCATTCAAACAACCATCAATGAAACGACCGCAAACCACATTGATCTAAGCACTTCCAGCGCTTTGAACATCCTCGTCTTTTCCAAGACCTCTGCGAGTATTGGCAGTGCCCTCACCACTTCCAGCACACAGGCTCAAGATCATGTTCCCCTTGAACTCACCCCAACACTGTTTCGTCGGCTCATGCTCCCTCGTCCTGTCGAAGTTGTAGATATCGCGACACTCCCCTTCGCAATCAATCTCCGGACACGTATTCTTGATACCCGCCTCAGGCTCGAACTTCAAAGTCAGCCCGCCCTGGTACCCGGGACACTGCTCCGTCTTGGCCTTGTAGTCCGCATCCGTGGCAGTGAAATCGGTGCCGTTGTGCTCAGCCGGTTGACCGCAGTCCAAGAGCGAGACATCATACCAAAGAAGAGGGTACGGTTCCGGAGCTCTGGGGTTGTAGGTCAGAGCGTATTCGAACTGTGTGACATTGTTGTTACCGGGCTTGTCGGCCCAGGATATCTTGATCGAGATTCCTTGGCCAAATACTTTATCGGTATCTGGGTTATAGCCTTGAGAATTGGCATCGTTGGGGGAGACCCAAGTGCTACGGAATCCTTCGGTGTAAGTCTCGCCGGGAGCGATGGGGTATACTACTTGTTCTTCTGGTGTGCCATACCCTTGCTCCTTCGTACGGCTTCCGTTCAAGCGGAATCCACCGATGGTGTTGATGATGACGGGAACAGGACACTTGTTGACGACCATGGCATTGCCATAACTGCAGCCCGTATCCTTAGTGGTAACGGGGAAGTAGTCAAGCGTTTCGTGAGGTTGGGGTGCGGCTTTGGTAGCAGTCGGTGATCCACCCGCAGCCTGATCCGATTCAGCCAGCGGAGTCACCACATAAGACGCACCACCAGAAGGAACACCAGGAAATACACCAGGAAGTACACCAGCTGGTGCCATGGAGGATATCGCTTCGAACGCTGAACTCATAGCCATCGTTCCTTCGATCGCCGAGCCCGATCCCATAGGCGTCGCATTGCTGAGGTTGATCAAGTTCACAAGGAAGTAGGATGCTATCATGACTGAGAAGCAGATTTCGTTGAAGGTGAAGTGGTCGAGTCCCAAAATCATCGTGGCGGTTTAGTGTGGAGAATGAATAGTATCGGGCTATAAGTATTTGATCGTCTGCGTAGTGTAGATAGATATTGATAGCAAAGAGTGCAGTGTTTTGCATGTAGGAGTAGATCTGAGGGGGAACGGTGTATGTAGGAAGTTGAAAGCAGCGAGAGAAGTTGAAATATATTTACTCTTCCCGCCATGAGTCTACGATAATGACTTGGAGTGATGTAGAAAGTGACTGGTGTTGACAGATACCGACCTGACTCCTATTGTGACAACGTTTCGCTATGAATCGACATTTTACATGTATGTAAGAGTCATGAATATGGGCTGGTATACCATCAGATCTCTCTTCCGTTCCGTATCCTATCCGAACCCGAATGAATTTTCCGCGCGCTTACCCGCAAGATCTTCTTTCCCATCGCCCTCCAACCTCGAACCACTTGAGCAGCTCAACATTATACTCCTCAAACCCCCCAACAAGATCCTCCGCAAATATATTCGATGGCTGCAGCAGTGTAGCATAAAAGCGGGCTAGACAATCCGCAAAAACCGCGCTATCCGCGAACCACTCTCCGCGCTTCTTAGACTCATCCACAAACAGTCCCAGCTGACGATGCGCAGTCGTAGCCGGCAAAGACTCCTTCCAAGAAACCGATCTCAAAGCCTGTTTATAAGCTTGCCAGTCCGCACCAGCCTTGCCCTCATACTTGGTAGTCTCTATGAATTCTCTTAGCTTTCCGTGGATTTCGTGCCATAGCTGCATCGCTTCGTAAGCCTTGCTAAAGGTAGGGCCTAATGCCATCTTCATTCTTTCGTACGTCTTGGGCGTGTATATGTTGTTTACATATGGCTGGAGCTTGGACAGAGTGGAGTGTTGCGGGTTTGGGATCTGGAGCACTTCGACTAGCTCGTCAAAGGCGAGGTTTTGGAGGTGTTTCTCCTTTTCTGAGGTCAGGTTGTCGGAAGAATCTTGGTCATCGCCGCCATGTGTTGGTTCATGGGCCGATTTCTCTTTTTCTGCGTTAAGGTCCTTGAGAGGTTTTTGATCACCGCAAGCATGTGCTGGGTCATGGGCCGGTATATCCCCCTCTTGTTCTGGGACTGGAAGCGTGTGTACTTAGTCTAAACTCGTGTGTTTGCCGAGATCGTCATAGCTGACTTCCGTATTAAAGTGAGGTGAGATGGGGCTGATAGAGGGTTGCTTAAGGAGCTCTAGACATGTATTTGTGAAATACTCTTCCTCTGGTGTCAGTGTGACTGAACCGATGGGCGAAACTGCTTGTTGCGTCTTCAGCCTGCCATGTCTCGTCTTCTTCTGCGGGGGTTCGGTCCGCTTATCCCATATACTCGAGGGAAGTTCCGTGTTGGGGTTCCAATCCGATGCAGAATCATCGCTTTCGGATTCTCCCACATCGCTATGGGCAGCCATGGGAGTGGACGAGTAAGATATGGCCATGCTCTCGTCCAGAGGGGCTCTGGCAGAGCGCATGGCCAAGGCAGGGGAAGCTTTCTGTTGTCTCGCTTTCGCTTTCCTGCGTTCCTTAGCTATTTTATGTACAACCGAAAAGGCGACGCGTTTCCCAATGATACATCTCAACAATGTCTCGATACTAAACTTGTCAGCTTGCGTCTTCCTCGGATACAAGAATCCTACGTCGTTTTATCTTTCGGCTGGCTAATTCGGAGCTCATTGTGGGCCCTTCTGCAGCCATCGTCCCCCCATATGAACCCGTACCGCCTTATTAAGCTTTGAGCATCTTGCTTGAAGCAGCTGGGCCTTGTGAACTCCAATCGTATGTCCGGACAGTCGGCTAGCAATTTGATATGAGCCGCCACCGCTTCCGAGATATCTGCATACAGTCGATGTATGTCGTCGCTTTGAAAGGAATGGGAATAATTACTGGTCCTACTCCCTTCACTATAGACAGTCAAACCCAGAGCTTCCAAATACTCTTTCAGTGCCCTCCTTTCCCTGAGACAATCGAGGAGCGGATTTACCCCATGTCTTTCCAGCTCCTCTGTAACCCGTGTCGTACTTCCTTTCGACTTTCCCTTTGCGGCGCACGGCATTGTAGATGGCATACTGGGTTTTTACGATCCGCATTGGAAAGGCCTCGGACCTATGGCTGATAAGATAAGGCGCTAATTCTAAGAGGGAATAAAGGGGAAGCAGAAGACTGGGATCCCTCATCCTGTCTGAGTCTCTATACAACAAACGTATTGGCGAAAATTCAACGAAACTAGGACTGTAGAGTGCGTAATTCTCTACAATGCTATGTCTTGCTGCTTTCTTAGGTCTATCTTTGTTGTCACGCGACATGAGAGTATTATTTGTGCGATTTGGGTGTTCTTTGAGCCAGGATGGCTGACAGAAGCGCCATAATGAACAACACGCGTTAGATGACGAGAAGAGTCGCGAATGGAGGGCTTATTTGAAGTAACGATGAAACGACGAAACAACAAGAATAGTCTAGAAAACGTATGCTAGAGGGTTGTCATTCGAGCGAGCGCAATACCCTGCCTCTCTGAATGCACGTAACACATGCGCTGCTGACGAAAGCTGGGTGTAGCTCCTCAACTCCTGGGGTTTTGCTCTCTCGTGTGCGTCTCGCCACGTTCATGTCACCTGTACAGGTAGACGCGCTATCGATCCAGTTCAGCACCAGTAGACCGTCGGAGAGAACCACGGAAGGTAGGATAAGGCATAATCTCTACTAGGTGTGTCAAGGTACGAGTGACTTTGATGGATGTGTGAATGAAGAAAGACTCACGACCTTGCGTGCTTGCTCATCGATGTCTGACGTTCCGGAGCTAGCTGGCCACGAGGAAAACAAGTCCGCGTCTTCCCTGAGTCAGCCACAATCCACCCAATCACCACGCAGTACCTGACTACTCCGCACTCCAGGCCCTCGATTTTCCTCCACATTCCGCGTCGGCGCTGTTCCGCCCTCCCGCGTCAAGATGCCGACGCAACCCATACTAGAGCTTCCCGAGGCTGCGACGATGCTTGGGTATACAGATATCCGGGAGCGCTCCAAATCTCCCCACAGTGATTTCTCATACACACCTCCACAGTCTGTGAGTTGAGCGCTGCATAGCATAACTTGGAAGTCTGCAAGTTTGTATACTTGCGCAAAGTCCAGCCCAGCATGCCGTCAATATCCCTCACACTGCGCACTGCGCGCACCTTTTCGCGAAGCACAACAAAAGTCATCCTGCCCTCTCAGATCGTTTCTCGGCAGCTACTGACATTGACAGACATACCTCAACCTCTCGCGCTCCTTCTCATCGTCCCTGCGCCGCAATGAGATCAACAAGGTCTACCCGAGTGCCGCAGCGGCTATCGAAGACATGGCCTCTGACAGTACGCTGCTATGCGGAGGCTTCGGACTTTCAGGCGTCCCAGACACGCTCATCCACCAAGTAAAGAGCACACCACACATCACAGGTCTGACCGCCGTATCCAACAATGCCGGCATCGTTGGAGGAGGCCTCGGCCTACTACTCGAAAGCAAGCAAGTCAAGAAGATGATTGCGAGCTACGTAGGCGAGAACAAAGTGCTGGAGCAAATGTACCTCACCGGCGAGCTAGAACTCGAACTCACACCCCAAGGCACCCTCGCCGAGCGATGTAGAGCAGGGGGCGCCGGCATTCCAGCCTTCTACACACCCGCGGCCTTTGGCACCGTCGTGCAAACCGGCGAACTAGCCCTCAAGCACAACAGCGACGGTAGCGTAGCCCAATACTCCACACCGCGCGACGTCAAAGTCTTCGCGGGCAAGAGCTACGTAATGGAAGAAAGTATCAAAGGCGACTACGCCTTCATCAAAGCCTACAAAGCCGACCGTCTAGGCAACGTGCAATTCCGCTTCTCAGCCCAAAACTTCAACGGCGCCATGGCCCGCAACGCTACAACCACGATCGTCGAAGCCGAGCACATCGTCGAGCCTGGCGAGATCCCTCCCAACGCCGTCCACGTCCCCGGCATCTACATCGACCGCGTAATCCAATCGACGGCCGAAAAGAAGATCGAAAAAGTCGTTAACGCAAAAGACCCCCAGGAAGCCGTATCAGCCCTCGGCGCCGGCGACGCAGCCTCGAAACGCGAACGCATCGTGCGCCGCGCCGCGAAGGAATTCAAAAACGGCATGTACGCCAACCTGGGTATCGGCATGCCCATGCTCGCCCCTTCCTTCGTAGACCCCTCCGTAGAAGTCCAACTTCAGTCTGAAAACGGCATCTTGGGTCTAGGTCCATACCCGCAAAAAGGCCTCGAAGACCCTGACCTCATCAACGCTGGCAAAGAAACTGTCACTCTTCTCCCCGGCGCATCGTGCTTTGGCTCTGAAGAGAGTTTCGGTATGATCCGTGCGGGAAAGATCGATCTGACTATCCTCGGTGCCATGCAAGTGTCCGCTAGAGGTGACTTGGCGAATTGGATGTTGCCGGGTAAGGTCAAGGGATTCGGCGGTGCGATGGATTTGGTCAGTAACCCGGAGAAGACGAAGGTGGTTGTTACCATGGAGCATACGGATAAGAAGGGGCGGCCCAAGATTCTTAAGCAGTGCGAGTTCCCGCTTACGGGTAAGGCGTGTGTGAGCAGGATTATTACGGATTTGGTGAGTACCCCTCTACATTCCTCTCTTCCGTTGCAAATATTTGGATTGGAGACTAATGATTGTGTAGTGCGTGTTTGATGTCGACTTCACAGAGGGCTTGACGCTCATCGAGCTCGCGGATGGCGTTACTGTGGATGAGGTGCGGTCGAAGACTGGTGCGGATTTCAAGGAGGCAGCGGAGATCAAGCCGATGTTGTAGTAGACATGCAGTCTTCACACTCGCACAAAATACCAATGTCGTTTTTTTGCACAGATAATGCACGTCTATTCCAAAACCCCAAGCCCGCTATGAGACAAGTACACAAACTAAGCCTATTGATAATGCAAACACCGCAAACCACTACGTACAACCATCCTACTCCGTCCTCGTCTTCAAACTACCACTCGCCCCATCAACAGCGGGATCGTAGTCGCTTCCAGCCTTGAGACTCTTACTCCTTGATGGTACCATCGTGGGGTTGGCTTCCTTCAACGGATCCACCTCCGCAGCCTCGATATCACTGTCCTCACCATCAATACCCGCCTCACGCCTCCGTCTCTGGCGCTCCAACCACTCCTCATCGTCCTCATCCTCGCTATCATCCTCACCAACAACGCCATACCTGCCTTCACTACCGCTACCACTACCATGCTCAGGGTCCTTGATAAAGTTATCAATGATCCAGTACTGCAGCGCATTCATAATCAACGGGAAAATGAACATGACGAAAGTGATTTGCAGTGCAGTGTTTCCTTCTGTCCAGCGCAGTGCCCAGTCTCCTACCCATGCGATCCAGGGGAGGAAGGCGAAGATGGCGAGAACGCAGAGTTTCATGCCGATGAGGCCGAGGAAGTAGATTATGGATTGCTTGAGCCACCAGGTTGCGCGGGGTGGTTGGCCGTAGTTGCCGCTGCGGATGGACTCTGGGGGGTTGGCTAGCGGGGTTTTGGCGAATGCGGCGTGGAGGACTTTGAGGAGGAGCACGAGGATTGGGATACCGATTGTGGTCTGGTATCGTTAGTTACTGATTGCAGATGTTCGTGGGAATGAACTTACGTCGATGGCCAGGTTGAGGAGGTAGAACGAGCACGGGTTCGGCTGGTCACCCTCCTCGTTGGTTCCAGCATACTTCGTTGTCGCGCTGGTTGTTGCTGCTACGTCAAATTTGCCGGAAGACAGCATGGACATCAGGACGTTTGCGAGATGCAACAGAACTGAGCCAAAGACCTGCTTGGAAACATCGAAGAACCAGATCTTTATGGGCCTTCGCGGAGACTCCCTCAGCCTCTTGATTGCAAGAGAGGATACGGCGAGTAGTCCAAGGAAACCTTGTACGATCAGTGCAAAGTTTCCAAGGAGGTTGCACTCGCCCTTGTCGCTCTCGCCATCCATCGGGTTTCCTTGTGCGGCTACAGCTTTGCTAGGCTCGGCGGCTGGTACTGCTGTCTTCTCAGGCTTGGTCTCTGCCGGAGTAGCTTCAGACGAGGGTGTAGATGTCGGTCTGGGTACGTTTTCGGGCGCGGCTTCTTCGTCGTTGGCATTGACGTTGTCATCCGTAATACCAGTCGGTGTCGGTGTGGGTGTCGCAGGGGCAGCCTTCGAAGGCTCAACAGGTTTCGCAGGTTCCTTTTCCACGCCGTCGATGCCCATGAGCTCGGTCTCAAAAACTGAACGCACCATTAGCCAGACCCAAACTCTCCGCATAAAGCAAACATACCCAGCGTTGATCCCGCAGGAATCTTATCACCCATAGCGTGGTTCCCATACGCCAGACCAGGCGGGATAACCAACTTCCTGGCCTCTCCAATACACATATCCAGCAGTCCCTGGTCCCAACCCTTGATCACCTGGCCCTTGCCAATCGTGAATGTGAACGGTGCGCCGCGGTCGTAGCTCGAGTCAAACTTGCTGCCATCGCTCTGCAGCGTGCCCTTGTACATCATCGACACTTTGTCGCCTTTCTGAGTTTTGCGCGTACATTCCGCCGGTCTTGTGACTTGGACTTCGAGATCCTGCGCAAAAGCAAGCGAAGGCAACAGCGCGAGGGGGAGCGCAAGGAGGGAGGTGAGGAGCCGCATGGCTGGCGGCAGTAAAGCGACGTAATGTCGCGGTCGCGGTCGAACAGGGAAAAGCGAATGCGGTATTGCGCGTGAGGAAGGAGGTAGAGAGGCAAGAAGCAGTGCGAGTTAATAAGCCACGATGAGGCTGATTACTGTACCGTACTGCCGGACTTTCGGGGCTTCTGAAACCTGCGTCGTGCGAAACGAAGCGCTTAACGCTCGCAAGTGCGGACGTTTGCCCGAAACAGATATGCCGGCGTGTAAACGGCGAGAGAAAGGGAGGGAAGGAGGTCTGACGGTCAACGCCAGATGTGGATGTGCAGGTGGTTGTGGCAGGTGTTCTCGACGTGCATGGCCACATGAAGTAACTGCGGCCAAGGGTCCTAGATTGTCCCGCCGATCCCCGAAATGCCTCCGCGGTAGTCGATTGGTTGTCTACTCCTTGGATCTCAAGCTACAGGATGCACTACAGCACGTAGTACCGAACAACTACCTTGGATCATCCGCCTCGTACAAGGAAGAACCTGAATTTGAACAGGTGCGCTGTCGTCTACATCAGGACGAGACCTGAAGTTTCCTAAATTCCTAGACGACGTAGAATTCTAGCAGGTAGGGTGTTGAACTTTTCACGTTTGTACAGTGCGCACCACTCTTTAAGACTATTTTTGTTGAAACACTCGAAATAGATATTGATATGATAGTACATAGCGAATGTGGTTCAGATGCAGTCTCAAGGAAAGGGTATAGTAATCCCACGGCACGGCAGCGTTCGCACACCCGCCTTCCAAAACTTCCCAAGTGTCCTGAACGCCTGATGATGCTCGAAAAAAAGTGCGATGAAATACCCAACAATACACACGCTGAAATCCAGAATGATTGCTTGCTACACACATGTATGCTACTCAGTGTCCCGTGCAGTCTTGATCGGACTTGCTCGCGCTGGGCTTTCAGTGACGGATGCCCCGCTCAGACCCGGCGCAAGTTGCAGACTGTTGCGTACGATGCCTTGTCCTGGTCGTACGACGACGCTTCCTCTTCTGTCGCGCTCCAACGGATCCACGGTGTTGACGGGCGCATACGTCTCCTGATTCTGGAGATGTGCGTTCATCCGCGCCTCCTCTCTCATCTTCTTGATCTTCATGTAATTGTATGCCGCGATGCTGCCAATCGTGACGACAAGCCCAGTCAGGTTGATGGGCGTAAGGGGGTCCTTGAAAACAAGGTTCGCAGTCCCAATCGTAACGACCTCTTTGAAAATGCCACAAATGCTAAGGGTGACGACTGAAGTGCGCTTCAGCAGAGCGAACTCGGAGGCGGTCATAAGGAAGGCGAGGACGCCCGGGAACAAAAGAATGCCAATGCCGAGGCCGGTGCCCCTGGCTTCGAAAAGTTGTGAAAGACCCTCCATGAGCGCGGGGAAGCCTTCCACGGGTATCGCGAGAATGAGTATGCTGATGAACATGACGGGTGCGAGGAAAAAGATGGAGGAAAAGGGGTTCGCTGTCGCGGGGTTGCGGAGGAGCAGGATCTGGGTCAGCGACCAGCGGAAGCCGGACGAGCAAGCCGAGACCATGACGAGGATGAAGCCGAGGGTGTGGAAGGCAGCCTCGCCGGCTACCATCATGACGACACCGCAGGTCATGATAAGAATGATGAATACAAGTCGCCAGGATGGCTGTTCGAGGCGGAAGAGGAAGGCGAAGATGAGGACGAAGCCGAGTGCAGATGATTTGCACATAGCTGTTGCTGTTAGTTGTAATCGCAGAAAGGAGATGTCATCCCTTACTGAAAAATGTCAACGAGATGAACTTCAAGCTCGTGTTGCCCAGGCCAATGTCCATGCCAGTGGCTGCACCACACGGCCCGAGTCTGCTGAAGTAGAACCACTTGGTCATGAGCGGCTTCTTGGGATCGACCGGCTCTACGCGCGAGCCGGCAGCGTGCGGGTTAAGGGAATCGTGTCGCGGTCGGAGGGAGGGTATTAGGAATAGGACGAGCGAGGCGAGCGTAAACTGGACTATCATATGCAGACATGTCGTGAAAAGCGGAAAGGGAAAGATGTTCTTGGCCTCGCCGTCGCCCTTGGCTTCCTTGAACATCCACTTGTTGTAGACGGATATCGATATCGAGAAGAGGTACCTGGGTCTGTCAGCGCGTGTCAACCGTACTCCTATTGACGTCCTACCATAGGCATATCAGAACGCCATTGACTAGCATCGATTTGAGCAAGTTCTGGTCGGCGAGCTTCTTCTCCTCCTTTGTATATGTATCATCCGGTACGATGCGCTGGTCGAGCAGCGTGTTCCGCCTCTTTCTTCTCCGGCGTCTCCGTCTGTCGCGCTTGGTGAGGCCCGTCTCCTCGTCGTCTTCGAGCCCGTCGGCGCTCATGTCGTCGTCGTCGGCGCTGTCACTGGACTCTGAGTCGGAGCGGTCTGCACCCGAGGAGGACTCCTCTCCTTCTTCGGCAATGTGGTCGGAACGGCGGCGTCGGTGTTTCTTCAGGTCTGTCTTGGTGGGCAGGGTGGCGCCGGCGAGCGAGGAGGAACGTCTGCGAGCGGCCGTGTGCTCATCCGTCATGGTAGGGGTGGGCGGGTGGATGAGTTTCGCAATGTTGGTGCGATGCGAGACTCTGCGGCCGTCATCCGAAGCCAGGTCGGAGAGGGAGCTGGCGGAGGGCAGGGAGGGCAGTGTTCTCAGAGCAAATTCATTCCCCGGACTAAGCAGCGGGCCTTGTTGTGTAGCGGTGTCCTGCAACTGCAGCCAGCGAGTTATCCGGGCCCCCTCTGAAGTCATGCTGCTCGACGGCGTGCACCTGATTCGCTTTAGCCTGGTCGCCAAGCCGAGAAGGAGGAAGACCCGCCAGCTGGCCCGGTTTCCTAGCAGTGCTAGCGACGGGCTAGCATCAGGGGCTTAGCGGGAAGATGCGTCAAGGGATGCTTCAACGCGACAGAAGGATGCAGGTACAATCAGACAGACGCGACAATATCACGCCCGCTGCCGCAGCGCGCGACGTTTTGATTGTTACGGCCTGCACTCTGTGACACCGGCTTGGCCGGCTCTTCAGACGGCGCACCAAGCAGCGGCCAATCACCACCACGTGTCATAATTAGTTGTTAAGCGGGGAAGCTCGCCGCGGGAGATCCACCAGGTGATGAAGATGGAGTCTAGACGCCTGCCAGCCGAGATGCCGACTACTGCACGCGACCACTTGTTATGCATCATTCTCTATGTCATGAAAAATGCACATGTTGGACTGTCCAACACCCACAATCTGCAATCCCTTTGTTGACTATTTTTAGTCCAAGCGTGCCTACATACTTTTGGAAAAGCATGATGCTCACGACCCGACTTCCGAACCCAATGCACTGCGGGCCCTGCATCTGCAGTCCGCCCTGCATGCCAACCTTCCATCGATGAAAAGTGCGCCGATCACTGCGCCGACCACAGAAAACTCCAAGGATATCCAACCTCGAACGCCATCAGATGCGAGTCTAAACTGAGAAAACGTGTGACTATGTCGGTGTCGGCGGCATTACTGGTGCTGAGGGCAGCTGTTCGATCTGCCGGATCAAGAAGCTCTTCTCGTCGATGAACTGCTCGTCCTCTGTCCGATCGTCCAGGAACGACGGCAGGAAGCGCAGTAGCTTCTCGCGGTTGCTGATCAGGATCCGTTGCACCGCGACTGACTTATTCGGGTTGGCAACAAACACCTGCGTCTGTTAACATGCGCACATCCTCTCACACTTATCATGACTAACCTTGAAGACGTGGAAGCCCTCGTAGTTGATCATCTTCCTGTCGTCCCGCAGCAACTTCATGATGATCTTGAGATGCTCCCCCGAATCCACATATTGCGTCATAACGTTGTAGTTCGCCCGGTCGAGGAGAATCTCGCCCAGAAGCTTGATCGACTGGCGCTTCGTCACATAGCTCTCCGACTGGACCAACATCGAGTTGTATTTCGAGAAGAAGGCGTCGAAGTTCGTTTGTAGGAACGTAGCCACCAACGGCTTGTGCTTTGTCAGGATTTCCTATCGCATGTTAGCCCGTGAATTGCCATGCCCAGCCAGCCAACCTACCCTAAATGTGTTGAATGCGTCTGCGCTGACTTCGAATGCGCCCTTGTCTATCCACCCAAAGAATTTCCAGAAGACACCATTGCCGGTAGCTGGCAGATCCGGGTTCACGTTGCCCAAGTCGAGCGTCTGGCCATCCTCCATTGGCTCGTCGTAGAGCAGCAGCGCAGCAATCGCATCGTATTTGAGTGCCTCGCGCAGAATGCCGCCACATGGCATGGCGCTTTCCCGCCTATCGTAGCCTCGACATAGCGCTATTATGATATCCGGTCGGTATGCGACGACGTGCTCTAGGACTTGTGGTGTGGCTTGCCCGGCGGGCTTGTAGCGGAATGCGGTCGAGAATATGACCTGGGCGTCTTTTCGTGATTCGAATGGGAGCTTGTGGATGTTGATTGCTAGCGCGTAGAGTAGGTCTTCGTTTAGGATACTCGTGAGCAGCTGGAAGACAGCCTCGGGATTTACTTCTGTGTCTTTGGCACGTCAGTATACTCTCTACCATGTTGCAAGAGACGAACGCACCGGGTGTGCCCTGAAGTCTAATCTTCATCTGCTGCAGGTCTAGTGCTAGCCCTTCCTCCAGCTATCACATGTCAGCCATATTCTCCAAGCGCTCCACTGCAGTCGGCTGGTCGCACCTTGGGGTTGGGTTTGTCCTCCTGTCCCAGCCGCAACGTAAGCTCTTTGATGGAGCGGGTAAGCTCGAGATTGTTCTTCTGCTTGTTTCGGAATAGGAACGCCATGTTGAGGGGGCTCGGAAGTTTTGCAGGGCGGGGATCGAGGTGCGATGGCGGCGGTGCTATGAGGGGCTGCGATTTGAGGCCAGGGCCGGGAAGCTGCTATCTTGACGGCGACAACATACAGGCGACGGTAGGGGAATATGGCTTGGGCTCCGAGGGCGGTTATGGCATACAGGGGGCCAATGCGGTTGTTGTCCTGTCT